ATACTATTACGGGTTCGTATATTTTCATCATTTATCATTTGCACGAAATAAAATTCTTTGTTTTCTATGCATTAGCGTCACAGTATTGAAATGGGGCATCATTTTTCATCTGAGAAGTACTGCTGTAACACAGATGGAGAGCACTTCATATTAACCCTTCGGGTACGCCACGGACACGCTGCCAGCCCCACCTCCTCGCGCGCGGCGAAGTGGGGCTGACGGCGTGGCTCGTCGTACTCAACGGTTTAGCATATTTCTTCAATGAATTGGTTTTGAAGAAAATGAAAAGCGACATATAAGTACTATCCTTGCCCTTATGATGTAAAAAATCAAGTAAAACCTTCCAAACGTTATGTCACTCACTCATTCCGCGTTAAGGTATTGCTTGCTGTTGCTCTGAAGCAGTGTTTGACTGAGGAGTTTGTACAATACGCCAAACAGATACTGTTGAACGCTCATGCACTATCGACGAAGCTCATCGAATTGGGTTACACAATCACCACAGGTACGTACCGACTTTCTTTAACTTCTTGGCATCACTATAACTCATTTATAGACTGGGAATAGGACAGTTTTATAGAAAATTTATATCATTCCATTCTTGATAATAGTTGGAGTATTTTATCGTGTTCACACACACCTAAAGGTGGAAGCGGATTGCGGAATTTGTGATGGCAAAAGCAGTGTTCATTTTAGAACTTTTCGTGTAAAAGGGGTAAAGAATTTACTTGCGTAGAAGCGATTGTATTTTAGGTGGAACAGAGAACCATTTGTGCCTCGTCGATCTGAGACCGAAAAGAATTGAAGGAGCCAAAGCGGAACATGTACTTGATTTGGTCCACATTACATGCAACAAGAACACATGTCCAGGAGACGTTTCTGCTTTACGTCCCGGAGGAATACGTCTGGGAACTCCTGCTTTGACTTCTAGAGGCTTCACCGAAAAGGATTTCGAGCAAGTCGCTATATTCATCGACGAAGGTCTTTCCCTGCGTTCTTTTCGCTTATAGCTAATATGCAGTCTCATAAATTATTTTTATTTGTAGGCCTTCAAATTCTGTTGAAATATAAAGGACAGTTTGACAAGACCATGAAAGACTTCAAAACTTTCACCGAGACCAACGAAGATTTCCTAAAAGACGTCAAGGATTTAGCAGACGTAAGAACGGTTTATTCCCTACTTTTGGAAGTTAAGATATCTGCTTTTGACTGCAACAACCTCAACATAAGCCTAGTACTGTGTTTGAACTTGAACTTGAACGTGAGTCTCGAAGACTAGGTTAAAAGATAGTCGATTGAAAGGTTTTTGTTGCGTATACTTCGTGACCGCCGTAAGCCGTGCAGTTGACAATCGGTCATTCTGAAGGAACGCCACGGTGATCCTCTTACGGTCGTTGAGTGTAAAAAGTTTGGCGTCGATTCCTCTAATTTGGGAGATCTGTCCCCGAGGAAATGACTGAACTGAAAGGTACCACGCTACCGTTGAGGCTTGAAAGGCCGAATAACATACCTAGAACTTTGTAGGTGCAATAACAGGCCTAATGAAAGGCTTAAAATATGCTTTCGGGATGTATTAATCTTGATGTTGTTTTCATGTTTTTCGTTCATATGAATGCCATAGGCGACGCATAAGCAAACTCTTTGCTCGACATGTTACCATTTAGTAGACTAGTTCTAGAAATTTCATTTCCTATGAACAACGACACTGACGAGAAATTTCTCTCTGCACTATAATTGTGCCAAGGTTATGAGACTTTTCGAATCAATCATGGCTATTTTTCTTCTCTGATGAGCAATTTTTTTTACAATTTGCAAATTCAAAAGCACTTTTGGACAATACATTATCGATTGCAGAAAGTCGAAGTGTTCTCGAATAAGTTCGACATACCCGGCAATGACTTGTTCTGAAATGGATGGCGTCGATATTAAATGACTGCATTCAAAATAGCTTCCTGCTCTTAGCTTCAATAAGTCAGAAGTATGAAGACTGTAGTTGTAATCTACTGTTAACATATTATTCTGATGACATTGATTTGTTCCTTTTACGTTGTTTTCATCGGGCATTCCTGTTATTCAGTGATTGATTGAACGTGTATCTTTGATTTTTCATTTTGTTCACACTAAAAGTTTCACAAATTACGAGGAATTTCGTTTACTTTATCCGGTTTGGTTGCAGTTATAGCACAGAAAAAGCTCTCCGTCCGGAGAGTAGAAAAGATCAGCTACGGTCCAAACGTCAGCTATGACAGTGATATCAGGTGGTTCCATATGTTTTGGCACTTGAGCAATGAACACCGAATTCCTTTACCAGAAGTAATTAATATGACATGATTTTCGTATTGTTCAATTGTTCATTTTCTTGCAAACATTTTGGTATACAACTTCCCCATACTTTCTTTAAGATGGGACTGTCGTGAGAAACAATATTGCTTGCTACTCATGCACTAATAGCACGTAGGGGAAAATGCTGGTGAGGCGGCGCGCAAGATTGATGGAGCTTGGGGTGTGATACGGTTGCGGAAAAGACGGCTATCAAATGATTTGCGAAGTTCAAAGCTGAAGAGTACACTCTGGAAGAACACTTGCGCTCAGGCCGTCCACAGCAATCTCCATAGATTTTGCGCGCCGCTTCATTAACATTTTCCTTACGTGCTGTTTGTGCATAAGTAGCAAGCGATTTTGTTCCCATAACAGTCCCATCTTGAAGAATTTGTGCAAGTTAGATGCCGAAATGTTCGCAAGAAAATGTGCTATAGAACGATACTGCAATCATGAAATTTGAGTTACTTCTAGTTAATAAATTCGGTGTTTATTGAACTAGTGCTAAAACTTATAGAACACCTAATATTTGAAAAGCGTCGTAACAAAATCCATTTCCTCAGTAAGCTAAATCAGTTGAGGAGAAGTAGGTTGTGAAACGGTAAGCATGACATGAGATTGTGGCTAATATTTCGGCACGACACCTTCCACGATGCTTCGAATCGCAGCTGCTACTTTTTGTGACATAGTTCTTGAGCTACTCGTTCATTTAAGAGCGGATTAGAGATGGGCCCATTAGGAGAGTTTAACGTGCCTCAGCATTTCGACTGGCATTCCTTAACTCACCTCAAAACATTGTCTCGTTGTTGGAAAGTTATTACTGAAGAAACTCTATACCCGTTGTCATTCGCGTACACAGGTCAATCAGGAGTTCTGAGTCAGAAACTATACACACTCATGATACTGTCATGCAATCAAGGACTTGACTGAGTTCCTGTCTCTAAATGATTATGTTACCTTCATGTTGTTCTTCTTGTTCATCGAACATGATTCATTTGAGATGTGGACTTCGTAGATAAGCAAACATTGCACAGTTTATTTTAGCAATTTTTCGTGTTAATTACGTCCTTGTCTCATTTTTTGCTTCCTCTCGCTGAACATTGGCTTTTGCTCCATAGGTATAACTCGAGCCTTGGAAATATGACTACGTCGTCAGCAAGGAAAAGATGTAATAAGAATTTGCGTAACTGGGATGTATTTCACTCGAATGATTACGTCGTCTGCTGCCATGAGGCTATTCGGCAGATGCTTTGGAAACGTTTTTAACAGACGATTCCATGCGGATTTGTCAAAAATTTTGGACTACGGAAATGCTTGTGTTTTGTTAACATAAGTGTTATTACATACTGTAACTTGTGGACTTAGTGATTTAGATGAGCTTTTGGCTTTGAAAAATTCCATGAATGCAATAAATTCATAAAAAGCACTGACAAGTTGCTCCAAGCAGCTGAGACATCTTTTCCGAATTCTGCGAATGATCTTTCTTGAACGATGAACTCTTTTTTCCATGTTCCTGCTAGAAACCTTTCAGATGAATTTCATTAATGTACCACGCATTCAGCGTCCATAAAAGTCCTCAGAGATCTCGCGTGTTGTTCCGGTTGCTATTTGAATTTCATCTCCTTTATGAATGTCGTAGAATGCTTGTCGATTTGGTTCTCTCTGCGATGTTGAACATAGCCGAGCTAAGGCGTTTCTACGTGGATTGCTAGAGGGCGTTAGGTGAAAGAATGGAACTATCAGAAATCCTGGTTCTTTTATTCAACTGATAAACTTCAGTGTCACCTGAGGCATTCATCTCTAAAACTGGACATTGAAAATTAACACCAATTTACGTACAAGCGAATAATCAAAACATTATGTCGGGCAATTCAAAGCTCATTTATATGACTCGTCTGCATAGAGCAAATTCACTTGCTTCTCTAGAAATTTCATTTTTTCAAAAGGAAAAAAATGAGAAATACGCAAACGTGTGCGGTCTTAACAAGAAACGGTTCATCAAAAACATCCTGTTAGATTGTGTTTGTTGATAAAACACAATTGATATTGGAACGTGACTAGAAACTTGGTAGGAAGAAAGTCACATGCGTGTCTCATAGATGTAAGAAACAACTGTACAAGAAGTGAAGGAAGTAATAAAGCAATATTGTCGAATCACCCTGGTTCGGATCCTCATTACGACAAGTTGCTCTTGTCTTTGGAATCCGTAAAGAACTTTACTCGTATGAGAAAGTATTCTCTTTCTTCTCTGTATTAGATTCGGTATAGGTAAAATGCTATGATTAAAGCAATCACTGCTACGAAATTCAATGTGCCTCTTGATATTGTAATCGAATCCCATTGGCTCCTCTCCATTTCAAGCTGGGCGTTCTTCAGTTCATTGTTCCGTCGAATTTCCTCTTGCAGTTGTTTTTGAACCTGTAACTTTCGATAATTACAATGCGAAGACCTTGCTTCGAACTATAATTAGTCAAAAAAAGAAACGGACATTCCAACTGTTCCAAAATTCTAATTATGATGTCATAATGAAAGTAGTGTTGCTGACGACAATATTGAACCTAGCCAAGCATCAATAAAAGTGATTCAGTCTGTAGGAATTCTTTCAACGTTGTCGCTTTTATAGCAATATTATGGTATCATAACTGTATAGCCGAGAATGCTGTGTGATGTGCAAATCTAAGAGACTCAGACGGGAGTTGAACCCGCACATCACCCTTACTGGGAGCACGTACTACCACTACGTCACAGAGTCCACAGATCCGTCACCATTCTTACTTTCATGTAAGGCGTGGCAGTTGTGAGCAGTCAGAGCCAAAAGGTTTGATCTGGTAAATCCATGCGACGAAATTGATTTAGTTCATAGTTGTATCGAAAATGACTCATACAAAAGGCCAGATTTGAGGTGAACTGTTATACTTTCTACGTGACTCCACTCATCTGATTTCAAACACTGACGGTAAGATGTGTCATGCCGATTAGATGCTGATTTTATCGACACTAGGATTAATCTGCACGAAAAAAAATTTTAAAAAACTCAGCATGCGTTAGAAATACTATAACACTGAGTGTAATATTGTTGGAAGTGATAAAAGAATAAGTTTCAGAGAAGTATATCAGCACAATGCTTCAGATGAATGGACGCGTTGAAAAAAACAATGTATTTCACATTCTACACTAATAGAAAAACGGACAATAATGTGCGCTCAGCTTCTGGTCTGCGAACATATCAAAATTTGGCAGTCTAAATATTTCTCTAAAGTGATGGGAAACATTTCGCCGTGGAAACCATATTTGTAAGACGGGCAGAACCTTTCGTAAACCGTTCTTTTAGAGTGTTTACTGAGTTAGAGAGACCATTCAACAGACCACATGACAACTTGGCTTAGGTAACAATTATAAAATGAATTGAAATTTGACCGTGGTGTTAAGAAAACACTCGAAAGAACGGTATCATAGTAGTAAGACTTCCTACGGCATCTGATGAGCACCCTATACAATCATTTTCTCGCACATTCGGCGGTATTCAATAACTTTTTTCCAAAGAAATTAGCAAGCTTAATCAGAATGTACCAAAGGTTTCCACCCAAGTTCAATATCGCTTATTACAGTGAGCCAACAGAAGTGCATAGGAGATGATCGCTTCCCAATCTTTTCTCATTAGATTCGTCTCCTCGAGTCGACCATCCACGAAGGTCTGCGAACCTTTTTGTAGTTTCGGCTGTTGACTTAGGATTTTTGTCCTCGTCTGTATGTCATTTATAACCAATGTTGCTAGTCAAGTCAATTTTCTCCGAATTCTCGAGGCAGACGTGTTGTGCTTTTCTTGCACACATCAGAGGGTGTGTCATAACTTTCTGAACGCGGAAGGATGGGCGGCTGGTAACAAATGATATCAATCTGAGCTGAATGAACGACCCTTTGAGATCTTCAGTTGAGTTTTCATCGAGTTAGGTTCTATTAAATGTGATAGAAAAAACTTTGCCAATCAAAAAAAACTAGATGAAATAATTTCAAAGGTAGTCTCGTAGCCAGTATCCATATTCATACCTTGATTACTCGTAAATGAAATCAAATTATACAAGAATAATAGATATTTCATTGATCAATTTAATCGTTGAAGTTAGTCCAGAAGATAACGAAATAGTGAATAATAGAAGAGACGAGTAAATTTACGTATTTGTAAAAATATAAAAAACTAACGAGTTTCAACAAATAAGCAGTTAAGTACGAGTCGAACTTTTAATATTACTCTGACATTCTATAGATGAGAACGATCGGATTTTTACAAAAAAGGACGGACAAACACGCGCGCTTTTTGGCAATGAATTATGCTCTCAAGTTTTTTCTATTTTCAAGAATAAAAATAAATAAAAATTACTAAAAAATCACAGAGTCTATAAAATTGCTAAAAATTACCAAAATTACTATCAAGTATTATTTTCCAGCACAAACCGCCTATCTATATAATTTTAGTTTAGTCTAACAAGAAGAATTTCGTGATGGCATTGCAAATTTTCCACCATGATTATAGATTTCCTGAACTGTAACTACATTCACCTCTATCATCCGAGGTCAATGAGTGACTCAAACTAGTGAGTTCTTATCAATGCAGGAATTCGTTGAGCATCACATATCGTTCTTGTAGGCTTTATGGGAAGATTGTACCATCAGGTTGATGGTCTTCCCGTTGTGCTCTAGACATTTTAAGAAATCCAGTAGATTGCGAAATCAGCATGAAACTCGGCTCTAGAGTAAAGCAGGAGTAAGCGAGAGGCTTTTGGAATGTTGAAAAGCATCGGGGATGCAGTGAAGAGAACGAAGAAAATTTGACTCCGTTCCCATCTTTTCGATTTGACGATCCTTTCTGCGCTAGATTATGCATTAGAAACCTGCCGCTATGTAAGCAGTATGAAAGATCAATTGGCGTTACTGAGCGCGCAGTCGAAAAGTCGATGCCAGGAGTATCCTGTAACAAGCAAATGAGCGAAAGCATCCGAAGTTAACCGACGTCGTCGTTTGAAAATCAACGACACTAATCTACGCGCCAGATTATCGATGATAGGCTGGGCTGACACCTAATGTGTTTTGAAGATGATTGATTAATGAGAGGCGATACCGACCGAATTCTTCGGAATGTCAAACGCATAACAAGCACACCACCTGATACTCTCTAATTTGTAACAACTTGAAACCTAATCTCTTGTAAGACATGTGGTGGTGAATATATTGGCGAAACAGGCAGACCACTTCACATCCGCATTAAAGAACACCTAGATGGGAAAGCTAATAATGACCCAGGCAAAACTCTACGTACACACAGGATTCAAAGACACAACGATGATGACTTCGAGGTAGTAGTCAAAATCCTAGGGCACGAACCAAAGGCATCGGCGCGAAAGACCCTTGAAGCTTTTGATAAATTCTAAAAACCCGTAAATGAACAAAAAGGGAGAGTGCCTTAACATAACCAACCATATGGCACCTTATCTCAGATTAATTTTTTAGCATGGGTCCCAGCTGAAACCTATACATAATTTGGCCTAGTGACATGGGGGCGGGTTCATACGTCACCCTGGCGCTAACAACATAGGTGGTCCATGGATTAGATGGTAAGGTGAGTGGTTTTCCCTGAATCGATTGTCGCTTACAATACCTTAGATTTTCAAAATAATTTTTTTTCTTCCCTTATTATATGGTCATATAAATAAAGCTACAACGAATAATACGTTCAGGCTCTGAAGAAGGCGTATTTGCCGAAACGTCATCCACAAGCAATCGCGAAAACCCATCGACCGGAAAGAAGAACAATCGATTGGGAAAAGATACCAACCTCGTGAAGCTTTAAATAAAGATTAGTTTTCCAAACTCTCTAGTTTATTAACAAAATACTCCAAGAAAAAATTTGCTTTTGAGATAAGGTGGGCCGGACACGTAATACGTCTTGACGACACCAGACATACGAGTACCATTACTGAGTGGATTTCAAGGTGTAACTCTATTAGAACAGAGCAATCAGTTTTTGTCAACCACATGTTCACAAAGCATATGCAGCTGCTCAATGTTCTTTTACCAGTCCGGCGACTGGAGCGGATGATTAATCGATGCGAGTTGTATTTTGCTTGGTAGCTGATAGGTTTATAGAACAAGTGATTCTTGATTTTCAGAATGTAACCATAAGTGGAGGACGAAAAGCTTGGGGAATATACAACATAAAGAAGAGCTTAGTAATCCGCTTTGAATTAGCCGATGAATAACCTTCGCAATATGGGAGCGAATGCATAGCTCCATTATTTTTGCGTTGCCATTTTTGAAAAAAATTAGGCACATTATAAAGTAAAATAACGCGACAACAGGTTACGATGCTGATGATTGGTAAGAGCGCGTGGCATGAAAATCATCCTTTTTCAATCAACATTTCAATAAAATCTTTTTCTTGTCTCTTCTACATCTAACTTCGTTCAAGTGATTAATTTCTTTCCCTATGAGCGACAACACCCAGTCAATTCCAGTATCAAACCTATACATTCTTCCTACGCTGACAAAAAAGTAAACTCTGACACAAGAAGCTTTCTCAAAGTTGATTAGGGGCTCACACTTCGACTGCCAAGGTGGTTCAGAACGCTTGTCGATGACCATATGGGTGATAAAAGAAAACCCCATCAAGGACAAAGGTTTGCACACTGTTACACCTCAGTTCTTCCGAAAATAATATCAAAGAACACTGAACACTTCCTCTATTCTATAAAAAATCGGGAAATTTAGAAAAGCTAATATCGCTGAAAAGTTTTACCCATTCCAAGCATAGAAAGGACCAACCTGCTACAAGCATGTGTAAGCTAGAATAATTTAGATACTTTTCTTAAAGATTAAAAACGAACGAGCAAAATATTCTGAAAATAGTTGCAGTAACGAGATTCTTTGAAGCGATCTTTTTCAAGCATTAACATGCAAGCTAGTTGCCACTGGACTCATACGATGTCACTTACCGTCGTTACGTATTCCAGTGCCTCTTCCCATTGCTTCAACAATTGCTCGTTTTGCAGTTCCAATTTCTCGCGTTCAACCAACGCCTAGAACTATATATATTCGTATATAACCACGTATCACATCACCCACAAGTCGCTAGTTAAGCATAAAACTGCATATTCTACAAATTACTGCGCCATACAGACTTTGATTATTCCAACGAAGGATAGCCACTGGCAAATTGCTCAGTTACGGCCGTATCCTGAAGTGGCAGTTGGTGTGTTATGAAAGAACTACTAGCGGAACTTTCAATACTTGATATCCCAAATGAGTCAGTGTAATAGACTCCATGATTCTCGGATGGCATACACTTCAATGTGTACCAACCATCTTCCTACATGTCGGCGTACATTTGGTAACGACTATGCGTCTATGTACAATGCAACAATTTGCTCACAGTCCCGCAATAAGATACTCGGGAAGTATTTGGAGGCCGATTATAAATCACACCCAACAGATGAGACGTTACTCTGACTTAGAAACGTTCCGCATGCTATTTTTGGATGGCCTTTCGCTCCCTACGCTAGAGTTCACCAACATTGCTAAGTATTAACGGTTGGCCAGGAACAAATGAAGAAACGATTCCTCTCTCTGGACAAAGACTTGCACTTTTGATATTCGTTCGAAAGCTTAAGTCATTGTCTAATGGGTTGCGTGGCCGTTTTTTGAAAACGCCTTTCTATAACGCTCCAGAAAAAGGAAAACATTTGTGTTTTACACACACGT